AATCAGCTGATGCTAAGAACGGCAATGGAAATGGATTGTGATAGTTCCCAAAATATTGGATAGTATAACATATAGTATAACCCCATACATATAATCATCAACCAGCATGGGTTTAGCCACTGCACTGTGGATCTGTTGCGACCAGGTCACTCCATAGAGTGCAGCCTCTACGCTCATCTCCACGGCGCTGGTGCCCTCATCCTTAAAGGCAGCAGTTGTCCGAAATTTTTCGTACACCATCCTGTCATCATGACTTGTATGACTTGAAAGTAAAAGAAACTCATGGCCCATCCCTACAATGTATAGATGATATATTGTACATGTATACTCACTTATCTGACTTTATCGTGGCACACGTCACGACACAGTCAGCAAACAGTCAGAGAAAGTCAAGAACCTGTCTTGCAGTTCTTTCACTCTCTCAAGGATTTCTCAATGGTTTTCCATGTTTTTGGGGGGATCGCACATTGAATCCACTCTGAGGCGGAAACCACGACTGTGATGACTCCGGTGTTTGGAAGCTCACCTCAAGTGGAGCCAGCAGCAGACTGCCAGGAGAGTCGTTGGGAATTGTTATCTCAAAGAATTTGGGCAGGATTCACTGCTTCCGTGACACCTCCATGATTTACTGGTATCTACTGTATCAACATTTGGGGGGTTCATATATGATCAGTTATCCCATGTAGATATACTGATGGGATAATGATCATATAAGATCATATAAGATCATAGATAACCCCCTATATGATCATTATCCCATTATAACCATATAGATATACTCATATATATCATGGGCTATCCCCAGTCACCATAGCTTTCCATACTCCTCCAAGGACTTGGATGGGGCTACTGCAGCAAGGATGCCGCAGAGAGCCGAGGCTTGTTGCAAGTCTCCCAAGCCTTTGCGCCGTCGCAGAGGACTCTTGTTTGTAGGGAAAGGGCAACAAGTTGTATAATCATAGTAATAATCATAGTAATAATCATAGTAATAATCATAGTAATAATCATAGTAATGATCATAGTAATGATCATAGTAATAATCATAATAAATCATCGCACTGAAGAATGGTTGGTAACAATAATCATACTGATAACTATATATCATCTGACGTTTATGTTTTTTTATTGTGATGATAGCTATTGATATCATGATATATTGGTATGTGCCATATGTTATGCCTGTGTGTTTTTTTATCAATTGTGTTTGACCACCCAATTCTGGTAGTATTTTTTTGAGCTATGGCCATGACGATCATCTCAGATTAAACATTCAGTGGCTCATCATCATTTGAATACTTCCCAATTTTCATCGGTTCATCCGCCACAATTTGTGGTGCTAAAACGTTGAGATAATCCCATGCTGCCCAAGGTTCTTAGTCCAGCCTGACGCGATAAGCGACCCAGCCTCAGAACTCAGCACAAACTTAGTTGGATCTTAGTTGGGTGCTCCATGTTTTAAAGCAGATTCATACTTGGATGGTTAATTAATCTTAGCTAATCTTAAACTCGGTTCAAGTAAATTGATGGAGGTGCCGTTGTTGGGTCCAAATTTACCAGCGGCTGGTTTGAGTCCTTCCCCGGGTAAGTTCCCATTTTGAGTCCTCACTTTCCATCCAGTGCAATCATCACAGTGCAACCAAGCGACTCGGGCACGAGCTCCTTTTGACCCGCCTTCCACAGCTCGTTGCCCAGGCTGCGTCCGAAACGTGGCGTGGGATGATGGCCGGGACCTGCCGAAGGTCGCAAACCACAACTGGGATGGAGCTGTTTAATAACCCATGGAAAAAAAACGAAAACATCAATCGAACACCTACTCCTACCCTGAATCTGATTCCCGTAAAACAACAATTCCAAACTCAGATTTGCAGTCCTGTTGGTCTATGCTTGATAAGCATGGTTACGACAGATGTAACAATCGCGTAAACTCCAGCTACGTGTGGTTTGTTGACCGGAAACGCACATGTTATTTGTCCTATATACTTATCACACGTGTCAGCAAGGAAACAAACCGCACCTGTCAGGCGCTGAAAAAAAAAAATACGCCAAAGTCTACCAGCATCTGCCACTGCTTAGCATACACTCCGGGAGGGTTAGCATACACTCTGGCAGGGTTAGCATACACTCCGGGAGGGTTAGCATACACTCCGGGAGGGTTAGCATACAATCGGGAAGGGTAAGCATACACTCTGGCAGGGTTAGCATACACTCTGGCAGGGTTAGCATACACTCCGGGAGGGTTAGCATACATTCAGGCAGGGTTAGCATACACTCCGGGAGGGTTAGCATACACTCTGGCAGGGTTAGCATACATTCAGGCAGGGTTAGCATACACTCTGGCAGGGTTAGCATACATTCAGGCAGGGTTAGCATACACTCGGGAAGGGTAAGCATACACTCTGGCAGGGTTAGCATACACTCCGGGAGGGTTAGCATACACTCGGGAAGGGTAAGCATACACTCTGGTAGGGTTAGCATACACTCCGGGAGGGTTAGCATACACTCTGGCAGGGTTAGCATACATTCAGGCAGGGTTAGCATACACTCTGCAAGGGTAAGCATACACTCTGGCAGGGTTAGCATACATTCAGGCAGGGTTAGCATACACTCGGGAAGGGTAAGCATACACTCTGGCAGGGTTAGCCAGCCGCTGCATGCCTGAAGATACTAGGGGCCAAAATGATTCAAAATGTACCAGTCACAGGCACCGCACAAAAAAACAAAAGAAAAATATTTTTTTGGCACTTTTACCTATCTATGACACTTGCATGCTATTGTCGCAAACGTATCCCTGTGTTTGTCATGTTTCTACATATTCTGTCAATGTTCTCAATATCTTGCCAAGGTTCCTGAAATCATTCCATGGTTATATACTGAACCTTCGGATTTTCACATTCTCACTAGCCCAAAAATCATTGTGTCCAGTGGGCACCTGCGTTAAGAAATCATTAAGTCACATTCTCACTAGCCCAAAGATCATTGTGTCCAGTTGGCATGTGCCCGAAGTAGAGAGGTAGTCATTATGTCTAGTTGGCATGTACCTGAAGTAGAGAAGTTTAAGTCCAGTCGGCATGTGCCAGAAGCAGTCCTTAAGTATAAGTTGATTGTGTCCAGTTGGCATGTACCTGAAGTAGTCCATAAGTAGAAATTCATTGTGTGCAGTTGGCATGTGCCTGAAGTAGTCCTTAAGTAGAAGTTCAGCGTGTCCAGTTGGCATGCTTCTGCAGTAGAGAAGAAGCTCAGAAGATCACTATGTCTAGTTGGCATGTGCTTGAAGTAGAGAAGTAGATCAAATGATCGTTAAGTCTAGTGGGAGTAGAGAAGACTGGAGCAGAGTAGAGTGGGAGTAAAATAGAGTCGAGTGATACTAGAGGTCCAGGTAGAGTAGAGGTACAGTAGAGGTAGAATAAATCAGACTAGAGTAGAATAGAGTAGAGTAGTGTAGAGTAGACTAGACTAGAGCAGAGTAGAGCAGCGTAGAGCAGAGTAAAGTGAAGAGGAGAAAGGTGGTGCTTTTGCGTCACGTGTTGCGATTCTTATTGTCTTTTGCAAGTCACTGTTGGCAGATTGCATTGTTACATCAATTTGAATGTTAGGATTTGCAATGCAAGAAACATTGTGCTTTTTCGGGTAAACAGACGTTCGGTTGCGGAGAGTTGTTGGCTCGCTTGCGCGACGGGTGCAGGCTCCCTCGGGTGCGGGCTCCCTCGGTATCTCGAACTGCGCTGGCAATGGAACTGAGGCTTCCAGCTAGGTTTGCAGATCGCAGTGGAGTGGCTGCGGCAAGGTATGTATCAAGGTACTTGTTCTTGACTAATGTGTTGCGATTGCATCGTGTTTTGCAACTCTCACTGTTGGCAGATCGCAGTGGAACTGCTACATCCAAGATGTGATTTGAATGCTAGGATTTGCACTAAACATAGTGATTTTTTGGGTGAAGGAGATTCCGTTGCGGAGAAAAGTTGGCTCGATAGTGTTTTTGTGCCTTTTGTGCAACATGCTGCATGCTGAAAACTGCGCAAATACCAATGTTTTGCTAGGTGCTGTCCACAAAACACTGTAAGTACCCTGATGTTTGCTACCAGAAGCAAAAAACATCGTAAAAACATGTAAAAACCGTGGTTTTGGACTTCCAAGGCGCAAAAATATGCAAAAATATCGGTATTTACGGTGTTGTTTGCTCCGAGCCTCTCGAAAAAAACGTGAAACCCCACCTATTTGACGATTTTTGGCTGCCTCCTAAATGAATGAGAAAAAGATGTGTAGTCAGATGGTTGCAAGATGCAAATCACACTACCACCACCACCACCACCACCACCACAACAACAACAACAAGAGCAGAGCAAGCGGGTGACATTCTGTGCAACACCAACCCTTGGGGCATCGCTAGTGTGCGAAGCAAGCATTTATAAAACCTCCAAGGCCTGCACCTCCAAGGCCTGCCATTCGGCTCAGGGCTGTGGTGCTCTGCGCCTTGTGTGTTTCCAGGGAGATGTTCCTGGGCCGGTGATGGCTCCATTCTTTGGCGGCTGATATAACCATGGATCAGAAAAACTGAAATGCCCTGGTTCATTATCACACCAAAATGGCTGCTACTTTTTCTACCCATTCCCATGGCCCAATATAGCATTTTCACTAAACAGGTGCAACCTTTGCTTTCGTGAAGGTTGCTGCATCTGGCAAGTTCAGTGAAAACAGCCGTTTTGACCTTGCCATGATGCTGATGCGGTCTGCGTCGTTCTTCACAGCGCGAGCGCAGTGCCTTAGCAGAAGGAAATAAACATTGTCAATCGAATCATGTTCAAATGCTTAAATTTCAACGGATGGAAGGCTGCAACAAGATATAACAAGATGACACGGGTATGCACGGGTACTGTCAAGTACTCCTTGGTACACCATCTGATGTCCCAGCCGCCAACATCATGAACAGCCGCGCAAAGGCCAAGCGCTGCCGCTCACCGGCAGATAACGTGGCGGTCCAGTCCCGCACTTCCTGGTGGTGCCGCGAAAAACAGATCATGTCAGACCACTCGGTCTGAAAATGGGCAGTATACCCCCAATTATGGCCACTTAATAGAGCCAAAGATGACAAAGCGACGGATTTCGGGCTACCCAATTTTCAGACAAACCATGACAAACCATCTGAAGAGTCTTGGAGTGGCTTCGGATGTCCTGCAAGCCCCACTTTCGTAGAATTGGGCCCATCATGGCTCGCCTTGGCTTGGGCCATGCACAGTACTTGTATGCGTGGATTCACCATCAAGTCTGAACAGGTCGATTTGAGTTTGTCCGAAAATGGGTTTCCCATGGTTTCCCCAACACTCCCTAACATCCAGGTGGATCCTCATTTTTCATAATTTTCCCATATTTTCCATATCATTCGATAGCCATAAGATCGGGGGGTATACACCATGCACCAAGCCATGGCATGCAGGTCAGGTGGCTTCAGAGCAAGCGTGGCTTGCACCTGCAAACCACACTTCTCAGCACCATTCGAGTCGTCAATGTGCGCAGGGTAGATGACAGCCTGATGCAGATGGATGGGAGCTTTCGCAATGGTTCTCCACCCAAAATTGGGAGGATTTGGGGGGATTTACACCCAATCTGTACTGATTCGTGGCCGTTAAGAAGGATAAGAAGGGAAATTAGATGGTGAATTCAGCAACTACGATTGGGGATGCGCCACAAGAAGTGGATACTTCCAAAATTGCCATTTTAAGAGAAAATTAATAATCCAGTGAAATTCCGGGGTATGAGTTCCAGCCTCCAGTAAGGTCCCCACGGGGAAGTAGGAGTTCCTTTCAGAGCTGTGGGGATGTCGCGAAGTTTGGCTGACTATCATTTAGCCTAGCTACCAAATGAAAACCATCACCAGATAATACAGTACATAAATACAGTACAGTACAAACATGTACAAACTACATCAAAATATCATCAAAATACGTGTGAACGAAGTTTGAACGAAGTGTGACCAAAATCTCCAGCTGTGGTTTCCCAGATTTAGGCACTGAAAAAAACATGTGTTTGTTCTTGGTGGGGATAAACACAAACTGATTAGGCACTGATTGCATACTGAGGCTCTGCGGTAGGAAAACCACTTCTGCACCAGGAGACTTTGCCACACTTCCCTTAGCACGGAGATGTCAAGACTAGTGTAGAGCCATCAATCTGTGCAGCGTCTAAAAATGGGGTATTATACCTCCAAGTTTGACAGGGCAAGTATATATAATATTATATAATGATAAACCGATAAACCATGATAAACCACCGAATGTTTGGGTATCAAATATTCAGGCAACCCAATATGGCTTTATGATGCTTTACGTGTTTTTGGAAGCCATCAAAGAGTTGCGACAAGCATGACTTTCAGTCAAAGTGGCTTCGCCCGTCAACCAAAGCCCAGCCATAGCGCGCAGAATGGATGACTTTCCAATACCTGCATGGGGCGTTCTACTTCAGATTTATGACGGATCATTCGATCAAAAATCCCAGATGCAGAAAATCGAATAAATCCCAGGCCTGAGTTGCCAGTGATCAACACGCCTCACAAGTCATGGCTGACAGGTTTTGCGAAGCAAGGGATTCTCAGCTGCCCCGCTGCCGACCTTGTCCAGTGGCGCATGACAGAGTCACCTCAATTTCTTGCAGCTTCAAAATCTTGAAACTGCCATCAGCTGGCAAAATCGAGCAGCTCAAGAGCTGCCATGAAACATCAAAAGAATTGCCAAGAAACGTCATTTAAAACAAGTATGAGCAGTATACAGATGTATACAGTACAGTCGGCTCGTGATCTCACTTTCAATCTAAGGATTGCAGCAAATCTGCCAACCCTTATCAAACGATCATTCAATGTCCACTGTACACAAGCTATCTTCTACTCATTTCCCCGAAGCACTTTGGTACACATGGCTTGGAATCCTCAGTAAAAGCTGCCAAGGCGCTCCCGCCACAGGTGTCTTGCCACCAGGTGCATAGACCACCAGTGAATCAAAGCCAAAGGCTTCCGACACCTCCTTGGTTCGGCCGTGTCAGATGGGTTAAGAAAGATGGGCCAAAAGACTGCCGCAGATAGCAGATGTCTTTTGGGGGGAGTAAATCTTAGGACTACCAACAACTTAGGGCAAAATGATGATAAGTGTCAAATAGACACAGGGGATCATCAAGTTTTGACTGTCAATGGGCTGCACAGGAGTTGATTGGGATAGTAAAGCCTCGTTTACAAGTGCCCATCACTGCAAAATGCACAAAACAACATGACAACAGCAACATCATAGCATTTCTTTAACTGCTGGCACTCACACTTTGCATGGATACGAGAAAATATGATGGGTTCCTAAAATGGGGGTACCCCAAATATCCCCAAATCATCCATTTTAGTAGGATTTCCTTATAAACCATCCAGTGGGGTAGCCCATGGTAGCCCCATTTAAGGAAACCCCCATGAATGTCGCCATGACCTTGGCCTTGGCAAAGCCAAGCCGCGCTGGCAACGAAACGAATGGTGGCATCCACTGGGGGAGCCGCATTGGCCTTACGGTGGGCCCGCGAAATCCCCAGTTGAGGGATGTGGTATTATTATCCCATGATTTACAGGGTTTCAACCATCCGTTTGGTGATGCAGGATTTCGCTGGCCCATCCACAGATTATGTCTTTAACTTTCACATATTTGAACCATTGGATAGCCATGGATAGCCGAAAAAAATCCAGCTTCTGTCTTACTTTGATCTGCCTTGCCTCATCTGAAGCTTCCCAAAGCTGCCACAATCGCTCGCCATTGGCTTGCCTTAGTTGGTGTTTCTGACGCGGCACTTGTGGTCATGGTACTCTCAGGATTCACCTACCCAAAATGCCAAGGTACAGCTGCTTCAATTTGGAGAAAGAGTTGGCAAAAAAGTCCATCACCTCCAAATCTTCAAATTCCAAAATGGGTATGGGTCAATACCTATAGATACCATTTTTAGTGGGTTATTCACATCCATAAATCCCAGCTATTTTGGGGTTCACCAGGGGTACCAGGGTTTTGACCCATCCCCAAATCACTTCGATTCTTCATAGTTCTTCAAGTTCGTAGCTGAAGTCGTGTCTCCATTGGCTGGGAATTGCTGCCGATTGCCAGCCTTGGCCACTTGCATGTATCCTGTCTGGCACCGCACAGCATCCCCAAAATTCAGCGCACCTGGCACTGGAATTCAGCTGACACTGCTGTTTAACGTAAGAAACCTGCAACATCCTGCAACATCCTGCAAGCTGCAAGCAGTGGTGCCCTGCCTGCCAGAATCTGAGGGCTCTGATATAACCACAGGATCACCTCAAGTGGCCCGCCATGAGTCATCCATTGGGGACACCACGGGGACACCATGGGGACACCATGTGGCCCGGCCATCCCTCAGCTGCCAGCAATGGGGAAGAAGTCGATGATGCCCAAGGTGGTGGTGAACAGCATGTTCACCAAGGCCTTAAGGTGTCCACATCGTCTGCTGGAGCTATCTGGAGCTGGCGGCTGCCAAGGTGCGTTGTATCGAATGGCCTCGATAGCGAGGCTTGAGATGTTTCAAAGTGCTGTCAGAAGCACTTGAAACTGTCGAAGTGAAGAAAATCAGAGAAGATAAGTACATTATTGAAAGATATTGAAAGAGTATTATGCATTGAATAACACTGAACACTCTGTGAATGCGGCATCGATGTGAGAGTTGAAGAGATTTCGCGAACGGCTCTCCTCAACCTGGTCGCCATGCGCAAGGGCGACAGGTTCCGCATTTTCACCTGGTGAGTCACCAGGAAGCGATGAGATGTGATGGGTACCCTCTGGTAAACTAACATAACTATGGAAAGATCCACCATTTTTAATAGGTAAACCATCTATAAATGGGCCATTTTCCATGGCTATGTTAAATAACCAGAGGGTAGCTGCATTGATTTTTTCAGACTGCGCTGGTTGAAAGTCTGTACCAGGCATTGGATCTGTGTATGCTTTATAATTTTGGTGCAGGCATCTTGTAAGTCCAAGACGTATGCGCGTGAGAGAATATCGAAAGGTTGCTCCTCCAAAGCTGAGAACTGTCTTTGCCGTTGAGTTTGGTGCAAAACTGCATGGTTGGAGGAAGTCCAGCCTGTTTCAAGCATATCCTTGAAAGCATCCACAAGCGCATTTCCAAACATGCCTCAATCGTTACCAAGTCAAATCTAGAAGTTCTACAGCAGCAATGCTCGGACCGGCACTAATCGATAAGAGGAGACGAAGGAAGGCCATCCCAATGCACGTCACGACAAGCATTGGACCTCCTAGCTGTATCATGACCTCCAGCTCTCGGTTGATTGTGATCATGATACATCATTCGATATATTCCAACTCAATCTGCAGAACTTTGGTTCGGTTGTCGGTTGACTCTCTCTCAAAACCCAAATAGTGTCAGGATGTCTCAGGATGTGTCAGGAGTCTATGATACATCTGATACTGATTTAAGGCACGAACTCCTGCCCAAGCGACCATTCCAAACCTTAGCTCTTTCGTGTTCCACGCTGATCATGCTGGCATTATCTGGCATCCACAAACATGAGCCACAGCTCCAATTTCAAATAAGCAGCACAGCAGATAGGAATCCTGAGAAAAGGATGTACATCATGTTGGAAAACCTCAGGTAGCACTTAGAGTGGCACAGCTTGGCACTTAGAGTGACAATGCAATGCACTAATCCTGTTTTTCTGCAGGCAAGTTGCTGCTCAGCGGAGTCACTAATGCGCTGGTCGGGATTGTCAATGTCCCGCTTCTGGAGCCAAGGTGTGTGAGACATCGCATGACTGACATATCCCATGAACATCCTGAAGAGTCTCAACTTCTCACAATTAATTTATCAGCAAAACATTCCAACCTCATCATCCATCTTGAGTTTGTAGTAAGCTTGCCCTCCTCCTGAACAATTGCAGGCAAAGCAAACCATTTGCAAGAATCAAACACACAGCTGAATATAGTAGGTTCTGCCGTTCTGCCGTGCATTCTGTTGCCCAGCCTGCAATATATGAGGATACCATGCAGTTTGTGATGTAACCTTGGCGTAGTGAAAGTCATGAGGCCGTCCAAACCAACATCTTTGCTGCATGTCGCATCACCACAAACCTGGAGGCTCTGTCTAAGACCCCTCCAAGTTACTTTGCATCGAGGAGGAAAACCACCTCGGCTCCGAACCAAACATGTCGTGTAGACACGAGCGTTTCATGCCCGCTGCGAATACCATTGGACATCATTGGACCATGGGCCAAGCCACGCTTGAAGCATCGGATCCTCAGTCATCGGATCCGCCATCCCTGGATGTTGATAGGAACATCTTCAGAAAACATCGGTTTAAAATTTTTAACAGCCAAATATGTCCAAATCATATGCAAATATCTTCAAATTTCATCATATAGCCAAAGAATCTCAAAACATATCCAAATATTGGCTTTCCTTAGATGTTTCCTGTAGATGTTTCCTCTTGACCCATTGCATCATTGATGATTTCCAACCCAGGCACGATAATCAGAAACAGCGGAGCTGTTGCTATTTGCCAAGCCAGCATGGAAAATAAGCGACTGTAGACTAGAGATAAATCCTTGGCGCGGGTTTAAAACGTCCCAAATTTTGGCCATGAAGATGTTTGGTATTCATGTTATACTAGCCACTTTGACAGCGATTATCACTATTTAGGGCAGTACCACCCGGTTTATCAACATTGATACAATAATATACAATATAAAACATGTGATTAATCCGAGCTTGAACATTGCCAACGATATCGGCAATGTCATGAGGGTGCCGAGAAAATAAACATGTCACACAAGAATCCAAGACACCTTTGAAATTGGAAGTGCAACCACTGCATTCGTCAAGTTGGCTGTCAGCGACGAGAGAAAATTTGCAAAAAGCCATTCTCTTGCAAACCAATGTGCTATTGTCAGGAGGCAAAGACCTCTTGATATCCATCTGTATGAAGGATTGGTGAGCCAACCCTGAGAAATGAAGTACACGCTCTGGACGCCCGAAAGATCTCGCAGAAGGGCCGTAAATGCAGAGTACTTGTCTTCTGATCGTTTTCCTTGTAAACGCAGAGTCTCTGAGATGCGAGTGTGGCGGGCGATGCATTGCATCACGAACGCAAAGGTCAGATTTAGCGCAATCAGAAGAGGAACGAGACAAAGATTCTGCCAGCTACCTCCAGGCTGGACAAGATGGAGTATCAAATTGTCAGCCTTCCGAAAGGTTACGAATTGGAGGAACATTCCGCCATCAGCTGTGTCGCTTCTGTTGCTAAACGCAGGAATGAAATGCTCCAGCAAAGCTGGAGTGACAGAGTATTGGCCGACAGAGAAGGGCAGGAACATTGCAAACCCTCAAGGCCAAGGCCAAGCAGTACTATTCAAGATCCTTTAAGATCTTTAAGAGAACTTGCATTAATGCTGGCTCCTAGATCTACAGAAAGGACTGTTGTGGCCGCCCAAATCTCACACTTAATATGTATAAAGAATACTTCTTGTGAGATTTGGGTGTCACAACATTCCCTTCCGATAACTTGTGTTCTTGTGAGATTTGGGTGTCACAACATTCCCTTCCGATAACTTGTGTGTTGATATCTGTTCAAGCCCCAAGGATTAATCTGGATTAATCTGGGACCAAAAAAACAAAAAAAACAAAAAAACAAAAAACAAAAACAATGTTTTCAGGACTACTTGGATCAGGGCTATCTTTAGACTAGTCTCCAAAACATTGGTTTTTTTGGTTTTTTTGGTTTTTTTGTTTTTTTTTGGTTTTTTTGGTCCCAGATTAATCCAGATTAATCCAGATTAATCCAAGCTAATCTACGATCATCAGATCTATTTAACATTTAAGTACTAACATGTGGTTGGCTAATTTTCTATATTCTCTGGTCATCTGCCTTTATTGGCTTTTAGCGCCGCTCTCTCTCTGTGTCTGGACTACTGAAGCAAGTTAATCTAAGATCATCAGATCTATTTAACTACTAATTTCCAACATGTGGTTAGCTAATTTTCTATATTCCCTGCTCATCCATCAAATATAGGCCATGTCGTTTGAATCCACAAGTAAGCATTAGCATATGGAAGTTTCCTCAAGTAAGGATCCATCAAATATATACCATATTGTTTGAATCCACAAGTAAAGATTGGCACATAGAAGTTTCTTCAATTAAGGATCCATCAAGTGACCCTCCAAACAAAGCCTGAGTTCTTTATGCCAGGCGCAGGTTCATGTAAAGATCATATCATTGTCTTTTTACCATTTTGGGACCAAGCATCCATAACATTTGAAACATGCTTCTTTGTTGCAGGCAAAAACCTGGGGATACTTGAAACAGTTTTGGATTTTCCATATACATTTTTCCAATAGTAGCTAGCACTTCAATCTCTATATGTTCACTGACAGTTTCCTCCAAAGATTCTTACTTGAGATTTACATGTGATGCTCTTGGATCTGTACAAATGCTTACTTGTGAATACAAAGAAGTTTATTGTTTTGTTTAAAACCTCTTGGCTTGAGATTTACATGTGATGTTCTTGGACCTGTACAGATGTTTACTTGTGAACACAAACAGAAACTTGTATTGTCCTGCCTAAAACATCCTTACTTGAGATTTACATGTGATGTTCTTGGATTTTTGTGGTATATTAGAGCATCTTTACTTGAGATTTACATGTGTAGGGGATGATCCTGGGCCTGTACAGATGTTTCCTTGTGAGCCAAAAGAATCTTTTATGGTTCCTTGAAACCTCTTTACTTGAGATTTACATATGATGATCTTGGATCTTTAGAGATGCTTACTTACTTGTGAACAGAAATAACCTTTTATGATTCTTCAAATCATTTTTGTAAACAAGTGCACTGGGCCTTTGCACTTGCAATTGTTTCAAAGTTTTGGGAAAGGAAACAAGTTGCTGGCATTGCCAGTTTTGATTGCATCACACTATGAATTTTATATGTCCATATTGGTGTCCAAAGGTTTGGGAATCAGTGGAATCAAGTCCAAATGTATAATCAAAATCCTTAAAAACCACATGTCAGCCCTTGAATTTTCATATAAATTTTATATGAAGGTTATATGCAGTTTATACGCAGTTTATATGCAGTTTATATGCAGTTTCAAAACTACATGTAGTTTATATGCAGTTTTGACCAAACTACATGTAGTTTATATGCAGTTTTGAAAACTGCATATAAACTGCATATAAACTACATATAAACTGCATATAAACTGCATACCAAAAATCTACAGATTTTGAATGATTTTGACATGCCTGGAAAGCTGAAAGCTTGAGATTTTGAACTGCTGCTGCAAGAAAATTTGTGATTTTCAAGGATGACAACTTAGAAAGAAACAGTATATATACACATGCAAGACCTTTTAGGCAGACCACTAACTGAACCAAAGATACTTTGATGAAATGAACCTGAGGGCCATTGCTGCTAAAGTTTCAGATCCTTTTCAAAACTTGGTAAAGGCTGCAAATAATGTTTCTCACGAAATAATTTCATATGTGTCCCATGACATTTGTCAAGACTGCCTGGAACTTACCAAATAAAATTGCAAGACATTTGGCTAAACAATGGTTCAAGAGTTATTAATGACTTTTTTGTGTAGGTTTCCCAGTGAAATAGTTCATGGTTAATTAAAAACTTGACAACAATAGTTAAAAAAGAGGCGGCCACAACAGTCCCCTCCCTAGATCTAATGTGATCCTACTGTAACTCCTAGATGGAACATGATCTTGGCTCGCAACCAGCACCTTTCATTAAGAAGGCAGTGAAATATGACTGAAAATGGTCTGTACTGTAATGCTCGTCCAAACCAATCTGAAGGAATCATGGGATTCCACATCTTTTTGTGACTTGTGGTAGTTGCATTGGCAACTTTGATGCTTGTCGACAATGACCATTAGACAGCACCAAACAGCATGGGGTTTCGTTCCGTTTCGGTACCGAAGGGTCTGCATTGGGCCAAAAAACCGTGGAGACATGTCAACCTTCACCGACCGATAGGGTTTCAAGGCCATCTCAGCAGAGTGGAAATTCTACCCTCTGGTAAACTAACATAGCTATGGAAAATCACCATTTTTAATGGGAAAACTCACTATAAATGGTCATTTTCAATAGATATGTTAAATTACCAGAGGGTAACTGCCCAGTGCCACGGAGGGTATGGCACCTCAAGGCCCTCACCGCTCAAGCCGAGGCCTTGGATTTGGCGAGATTCATCACCCAATTTTCAAAGGGTCAACCTGCAGCACTGGGTGTAAAGCTTGGCAAGGTGTGATGTTGAGGATCCAATCTGCTTGGCGCAAAATCAGCAGCCTGGCACATCACGACTGGAAAATCTTGTGGCTCCAAGGTCATTGCAACGGCTGCCACCTTTGCTGGCTGTCTGCAGGGGGTGAAGCTTAAGCCTTCTGGCCTCAGGCGCGACACGCACCGACCAAAGAGGTGATGCACCAGCGGAACCAGTGGATCTTAGGGGTATATCCCATCATCATGCGCAAATCCGCAGATAGATCACTGGATACATGATATACATGATATACATGATATTCATGATATGCATTGTCTGCCTTCTCTCTTGACCCACGGGGATCCGACACGTGACTCGCAGCCTCACCAGCGGCAGTCTGCAGCGGTGAGCGGCCTCGGAGTCTCCCGGCCCGACCCATCCCGACCATCCCGGTGATGCTTAGACTTCGACAAAGCACGCAGAGCTCACGAGCAGTTGCACGCAGCTCTGCAGTGGCCTAGCTCAGCTCAAAAAAAAGTGGGGCAGTGAGTACCACCCTTGAACGGAGGAAATAGATGTATTGTATATTAATAAATTATTAATATTATAAGAAATAATAGTTTTGGTTGAAATAAACCATCAACAACCATCAACAACCATCATCAACCATCATCAACCATCATGAACCCACGTTTGGAGGCTTTTTTGGTACAATAAAAATTGACCCATACCCAAGTGAAGCTGATCCTAGACATAGGCAAGCCATAGGCAAGTCCCGCCTCTGAGATCTCCTGTTGCAGCGTACTTCGAATCTCAGATGCCATGTGTTCCTTGTACTCCTTCAAGTGAGCCTTGCCAATCAGATGGTCTCACACGCTACCACTGAAATCACACAAAATCATGGCAACGTTTTTTTTGCTAAAGATGATTTTCAAAAAAATAGCTACACAGGTTGACCAATCAACCCAATCAACGAAACCAGATTTATCCAGATTTTAATCACATATCAAAGCTGATCCATTTCCCTTCTCACTCCATGCCTCCAGCGCGAGCTTCATTGGTGCGAAGCACGCAGCCTCGCTGCCGGCATGGGTCAAAATTGGATTCCAAACAGTGGGATTGTGATACCCTGGGCTTTTAGTTTTGACCCATGAACCATATATACACATTACCGTTATATGCTGGTTTCTTGAAATATCTTGAAATGGGTACCCCAAATCATCCAAGTCATTAGACCATAACTTTATATTGAAACCTATGGTGACTTTGGGATCCCCCATGACTTGAGACACCTCCATATATTCCTAATTTTCTTGGTTCACTCCCAGTCCTTTATGGCGCAATGTGGCATCCTCTTAGCTTGGATCCACAATAGCAGCATATCATACCAATTTGATCCAATTTGCGGTTCGTTCTTGTGGATACCCCCACTTGGGATTATTTTTGCTTATTCATGTCATAGCCCCCTACTATGACAGGAAAACAAGCAAGGGCATCAATATTAATTGATAATGGGATCCTACTATTTTCCCACAAATTTAGATGATGAATATTTTTTCAGGAAAATAGTAGGATCCCATCATTGAATAGTATCCCAACATCCCAAGTTGTCCCATATTTTCATGGGTTTTTCACAACCTCCCAATGGTTGGAAGCTCTGGAGGCTCCGCCTCTGCAGCCTCCGCTCGTCGCATGGCGGCCTCTGCCGCTTCTCGCAAACCTTCCACTGCAGCCTGGAGGAATGAGGGGATGGGGCCCCAAATTGATGACCAGTTCATAGATTTTCATAGAGAAAAAGCATGGGAAACCCCTGGAGTTTGGTGGAAATCACATGAAATCACCTTATTTCAGACGTCCTCCCATTTTGTAAGGCGTGAACAGGTTCCCGAAATCATGACATATCACGACTCAAAACGGCCAAAACGGGCTAAACGGCAGGGCAAAAACCAGGCTCCAAACCAGCAGCATCTCTCTTTCACTGCTGAAGGGATCTTCGCTGCTTGCGCTTGCCTGTCACATGCTCAGGATTCAGCGCCGATGCGGGCAAGTCTCGTGTGCAAATGAGAGAATCAACGTCGCGGTTCACGGATAAAAGATTAATGCAGTTAATTATAGAATGTTATAGATGAAGTTTTTAAGAAGAACCTTCCAAGCTTGAACATCTTGAATCAAACTGAGACGCTTCCTTGCCCAAGGCTCTGGGAGATGTTTATACCCAAGCCATCCCGAGCCTGCATATCAGGCGCATCGGACTCCGTAGACTTCGAGCCTGCCTTTGGCTGGGCCAGCCTGGTGACATGAAAAACCATCCATTCTGGGTGATTGATAATTTTGAACCAGGCCCATTATAGCCAGGATTTGGCTATGACCTAAGAAACCGACACGGTCCGCCGATGTAACTTTGCCTTGGCGCAAATCGCTGCAATCTGACAGCTTGTGCAGCTCGCGCTCAGAAAGCATTGCTCAAGAGTCATTACTATCCAGCAAATGCTTACAGTAGCTGTCCGAACAACTCTTGCTCCTCATTATGTCCTCCGTCCTTCCAGTTCACTGGTGAATAGGCATTTCCCAGCTAATGGATTGTGATACTCCCCAATATATTGGATAGTGTAATTCCATATAATTATCAATCAACAGTGGTTTTGAACATGGCTCAAATACGGGTTTGTCTGAAAATAGGGCCAAAATTTGGTGATTTTCTCGTGTTCCCTATTGAATGACCATTTTATGGGTACACCATGGTATACTACCAATTTTCAGACAGACCCAAATATCATATCAAGTGATATCCCATATCCCATCAATATAATTATCCCCATTTTCATATGTCCCATGAATATCCCATTCTATCCTCATTTGAAGGTGATGTTCCCCTGTTTATGATGGATAGATGGTTAAATCACTATGTTGGATAGAATTTGAATGATATCCCATAAATATATATATATATATCCTATGAATATCCCATGTTTACACCATTTTTGATGTGTTAAATCACCATGTTGGTGACGCCAGCATCCACCACTCAGTCTGCGACATCAATCCCATGGCTGGACACCAGCTTTCGCACGCGTTGCACTGCGCCAGGCCCATGCCTGCGATTTTCTAACCTCTGGATGCGGTAGGACCCAGGGAAGATTGGACTGTGTATATCATGTATTATAAGATTATATATGATTATATGTGTATATTATGTGTATAAATTGATGTATATATTAACACATATATATAGTTATATACATACCCTGTAACTCCATATCCATTACAGTAATTAAAGAAGTTTAAGTTGGAATTCGGATGGAGGCTGGAAAACCCTGGTTTTGCCAACCCTTCCAAAACCTGTAAATGTCGCGTGAAAACCAGCAGACATTCCCTACAAATACTTGAAAAAAACCGTCGTCAGAAAGAATCATTTGTCAAACCGAATCAAAACCGGGTCTTGACGCGCAAAAGCCGGATTTCGCATTTTTCAGGATATGGTTGTGCACGGTGACTGTGTATTATATATATATATGTTATTATATGTGTGTGTAGTGTGTATGTATGTGTGTATGTATGTGTGTATGTATGTGTGTATGTATGTGTGTATGTATGTGTGTATGTATGTGTGTATGTATGTGTGTATGTATGTGTGTGTGTGCGTGTTACATTATATATATACAGTAGTTTATACAATTATGCGTATATTGTGTATATCATTACGTTGATAACATGACATCACATAAGATTATATATATACAATCCAATGTCCAATCTAATCTATGATATACCGTGCATCATCATTAATATATTTTCAGCTGTTGTTCGGCCGGTAGATAGGAGAGACCTCCCAGGCCTCTCTCCGGCGTCCGACTGCATAGAAACTTGGGTTGTGCTGCTTCGGAGGCCTCAGGCGTCCATGATCAATGCCATCCCCCCAATATTCACCACCCGCTAGATGGTTTCAGGTGGTGTTTAATATTTGGGGGAAGAGATCATGTTAAAATCGAATTGTGTTTCAAGTGGTGTGATGATGTGCAAGGATGTAAGCTTGATATAGCTTGATGTTTCAAAAGATGCCTTGAAGCCTTGAAGCAACACTATCCAAACTCCAGCAGTCATCTGTTCTGGGTAAATTATAATATTTCACTAACCTGAATTAAGGCCATTTGGGGATCATTTCCCCTACTAACTATGATTATAGTGAGGTCGCAGTGAGGTCGTTATAATTTACCCAGATCTCTTGGGCGGAACGGTTTTAAGATTTTTCGCTTCACGCTGCACTGGTGGTTTCACCAAAGTTTTGGAGCTTTTCCTGCACAGCAAAAAGTGAACGAGGGAGGCCACCTAGAAAATGCCGTGCGTTTCAATGCAAATGGGTCTCTCTGAAAATGTGGTATATCATGGTATATCCCCCAAGTTTCCAATCTAATTCAAATGATGATGTCAATGGATTTAGAGGTAAAGTACCATATTTTCAGACAAACTGAAATATTCAGCCAAGGAACCTCTTCAGGTCTTGCTTTTAGACTCATTGCTCCAATTGCTATTTCCAACTTCTCTCCTGCGCCGTCATCCAAAGCAAAGTCTTTGGCTGACTGCAGGCAGAACGTGACTCTGAGGAAGCGACTTGCTTTTTGTGGACGGCCCTCCAAGCATGCCAAGAAGGATTCAGCCCACGCCTTCCACAAAGGATCCAGCAATTCAAGATGAATTCAGGCAACATGGGCTAATTACACGGAACAGGAAAACATCCGAGATTGGACTAAAAGAAGAATTGTATAAAAAAAGTACCATCAAATCATACAGAGAGAAGAAAAAGGATGGCAATTGAGCATTTCTCTCTAATTTCTCTAATCCCACCCTTGTTTGAAGATCGACCGAATCACCGCCTTGGTCAGGTCATCCTTCTCTGTATCAAGCTCAATTGTAGACACCGCTGCGCCCTTCCTGAGCACGACTTGGCAAAACGATGGTGAACTGCAGTGGCCAAAAATTCTGGAACTCCAAAAAATGATAAACATGGGATGCTCGAATACAGCCAAGTACCAAATTGATGGTCTCATTGTGGGCAATTGGTACCCCAATTTTGCGCAATACCCCACTCATTGTGGCAAGCTCAGCCTTCATTTCCCCTGTTCACTACATTGCCAGAACTACCAACCTATGGAATTGTGTGTGAAAGCATGACCCGACTCCACAGCCGTACAAGCTTCAGAACTGACAGAATGGGAACGCCAATCATCATCCCCACTGGGCCCCAAATGAAGCCAAAGTAGTTGATGGTCAACAGGACCCAAACCTCAACAGGCTGCAACTACTACAGTACGTACTAAGTTACAAGGATGCACTAGGATCCACTACTGGTGCCACTACGTGTCAGTAATTTCGAGAAAATCCACGGGTGACTGAGCACATGGCTGGGTGTACCTTCATCTCCGTATCTGCTTGGATTAGGGATGTCTCAATGATGTTGTTGAAAACGATTTTCATCGCCTGAGCAAGCGAACGAAACCAAGCAAACAAGCGAAAGAAGAATGAGGGGAGTCCTCCAACATTTACATGTCTGAACACGAGGCATCAGCATCATAAAGACACAACAACTCTGCAGTGTCTGTGTCAGACTAGGTGTAGTAGGTGCATTCTCCTTGAGCCAGGATGCTAATTGTCCCATTGTTGCCTTCATCAAGGTGGTGGCTGGAGATGCCAATCGGCCGTCTAACAAGATCACTGGCATGGGAATGATGATGGCAATGATGGTACCTGGAGGCTATCGAAGGTCGGAAGTCGTGAAATTTTCTCGAATCCACCGTGCATAGTGATTTCGTGAGCAAACTGGGTTGCTTGCCGACTTCGGGAACGTAATTGAAGAAGAAGGATACGATGCCAAAGAAAATTGCCTGGGATAGGCTGCAGACAGTGAGGGCAATGGACTGACAGGGGCATGATCATGTGGACCCTGAAGCTTCGCAAGTGTATCAATGACAACAATGACATGTCATGCAGCAAGAGTGACCAAATCATTGTTCAGCAACAAGAAGAGCGCGGAGACCTCAAAAGAACAAGCTCCAATGACCAGAATCGACATGGAACAAGATGTTCGTCAGAGTTTGTGGTGCACTCTCAACCGAGGCTGTCGCAGAGAAGCCATACAATAGCGACACCAGGGTCTTCTTCCACAAATAGCTTCTGACCTAAGAGAAATCCAAGTGATCAAACACACAACAAGTCACAGGCCACGCGATAAGATGATCAAAGAGCCCAACAAGATTGCTCACTTTGCCACCGATAGGAAGAGGATGAAGGAGTCCGAAGATCACATAAAGCAGAATAATGATAAGACTGACCACACACCTCGGAACACGATATCTCCAGCATATACCATGCCAGAAAATTGATTATGTACGAAGTATATATGCAAAAAGTGCAAATTCACAAAAACAAAATTCAAACAAATCCCAACATGTTGCAGTTTGGGGGTGAAAGGCTGATCTTCCTTCTTGCATTCCAAGCGTCGAGGATACATCTGATATGATTTCCTCGACGACTGCTGAGACCAACGCCTGGCCCTTGTCCAACAAATGAGAGTAGAACCTGCGGCTATTCTGTGCAAGGCTTCGCACATCTTCGATCTTCGGATCTCAATTTGATCCATACCCGTTCAAGGGTGACATGTAGAATAAAAAACATTAAACAACTATGATGTCTGTATACTGCCCCAGTCCTGCTGTGGAAGACAGCTGAACAATAACGGATGATACTTGATGAAATCAGATGAACATGTTGTCCAATGGCAACAACAACTAGAAGATACTAGAAGCATTTGTCTCAACTGACTGCAGGCTGGGAACCCATTTAAGTGTGCATCCGTCTGCTCCCCAAGCTGCAGCCGCAAGGACAGCTTCCGAGTGATGCTTTCCAGCCATGCCACGAGGTTCGCAGCCCCGAGGGAATAGCTTGACCAACCTCATGGTTTTGCCCAACCGTCCTGGGGGTGGTTTCCTGCCTTGGGGGTACCCCGAAACGGATGATCTATGATGGACAATCCCATTAAAATGATTTAAAATGGATGATTGGGATTGATCTTAAAATATCTTAAAATGGTATCCCCAATTTAGGAAACCCCAATTTGGATTCACTTGAAGAATTGATCTGTACATTGAATATATTGAATGCCAGTGCCATCAAGTAGTCGCCAGGTTTAAATCCTGAACCCTGCCACCGAAACTCTTTCGCGCAGATGCAAAGCCCCAGCCAGCAGCGAACCCGCCAGGACGGTGACTACCTCGCTATCGGATCGCCCAATGGCGAAACAGAATGCCCAACGTAGCAGTTTTCAGAGCCTGCGGTCTTCTTACTGGCTTTCCTATCTTTCCTTGTTTCACTGAGTTTCACCCATCCACTGTGGATTCCTGTGAACTCTTCTGCCACTCGTTTCTTTTCATTTCCAGCCATTGATGCACATATATCAATCTGGTCGCTGCCCGGCGCGATGCAAACTGAGAACCACGCCAGTAAGATCAAGCCTATCCTTGGTGGCAGATGATCACTGAAAAACAACAGTCCAGATGCCAAACCACAGAACATGACGCAAGGCAAACAAAAAAAAGGTCTTGTTGCAGGTTGAGCCTCGCTATACTCACTGAAGCGCACCTTGCAGCTCCCTCGCAGAGGGGATCATCATCCTTAGTTCAGGTAGAGTGAATTTTGCTCCTCCATTTTTTTTCCTGCGGCTTGGCCACGGTGGGTCCATTCAGAGGTTCCAGTTCTGCTCGATCTGGGTCTTCACCCTCCTGCAGCTCTTCTCATCAGTGGACCTTGTGGTGAATTCCATGGTGATTTTTGGCCTCCTCGCCGTAGAAGGCGTCTTTTCTCATCTTTCTGTGGCAACAGCAGCAGAACCACCTTGTCAGGCGGCAGAAGAACAGGGATGCACTTCCAGTCTGGTGCCTCAAGATCTACAGAAACTTCAGAGATTTCTTCAGTATTTCCAAGGGCCTGTATGGTGGCATTCTGCCAGAAAAGCCATGGTAGATGGCGTTCACCTCAATAGTGTCATTGGCACGCGCTGCATACCCCATTTTATGGCAATTTCAAGAAAGGACATGTGTTATAAACGCATTTTGGGTGGCCAAGTTGCAGTTGGCTCCACTGCACAAACAACCAGTGCACTAAGTACCTCAGCCCAAGAAGTTCTTTGCATCACACCTTGGAAATTTTGACCCTGGTCCCTCCCTGTGTTCTGACCAGGCGCAAACGGAACTAGCACCGATCGTAAGTGGAAAAGAAGAATATGGCCACCTTGGCCAAAGTTTCCATAGACGGTATTGCAATGTATTGCACAGTGCAAGTTTCCATAGCTGCGTGAGTGACATGGCAGCCCTTGGGCTCAGGCAAACCAACGCTACCAGCATCAACCTTGCAGTCAGAACATTTAGTCATGCTTCCATGTTCCAATAAAGGCATTGAAGAGCATTGAATCCGTGTGGATGTCGTTGTTACAGGCTTCTCAGGACGAGAAACAGAAACACAGCAACCTTCTGAAGCGACTTTGTCACTGCAGTCACATTGTCAGATGATGATGGCTCTTGTCTTCTGGGCAACATCCTGCCGGCATCTTTTTTCAGCATAGATTCAGCTTTGACAAAACGTCCAGAAGACATCAGAAGACCATGCCACTTGCGTCCCTTTCCCCCTTCCTCAATCTTCATGCAACGTCCGACTCCACGGAACCTTTGAAGTGTCGAACATTGGTTGCTGACCAGATGCAGCAAGGTACTTAGGTCCACGCGAGAAACTTGGTCCAGCCAAAGGCTCCCAGGAAAGGCGAATGACATAGAACCTCATATGGAGCTGCTAAAAGCCTCTGAATGAATTCGGTCACAGCACAGCACTGAGTTTTCCTATCATGTCCATCTTTTCTTCCCAAGGCACGTTCAAGGCAGTTTTGCCCCTACAAATAGCACTGTGGGGTTTGAACCAAGTGTTGCGGGTCGAAAACGGTGAAAAAAATCTGCAGACTCACCGACTCACCTTACATTGCCTTGCATCCTTAGAAGTACCAAGCAACATGCAGACAGCGCGAGTTTCAGCAACTGAGGCGGCATCAAAGAAGTCCACTGAAACAATGGAACGGCTCCACAACCTCGGCTAGACTCAAATCGGATCTTGGTTCAATTCATGCGTGGACATTGAAACTGCGCAGTTCTACCCATGATCGATTGATCATGATTATTGATTATAATAACATATAACATATTATATTATTGATTTACAATGTTATGTAATTAATGTTTATACATGTTTATACCACTTAGATCAGGTCCATTTAGTATGTGTAAACCCAGTCAATACCAATCAACTCCAATCAACTCCAATCAACTGGTGATTTTCTCCACACGCTCTTCTTCTCTGCAACGGATGATCAACTCATGAGCACTCCAACAGCGACCGTGGCCCCTGCGCACGGCAAGCTACACCTGGGTTGGGCCTCGGGCGACTTTCCTCGAGCCCAGTAGCTGAGGCGCAGTTGTTTGGTGTGAACGTTGTTTCGGCCATTTTGGAGGAAGGAATGCCCCCCTCCATAGGCTATGGGCTCAAGGCACCTGTAACTCCCTACTAAATCATGGTTTCTGGGGGTCATATTGGGGGAAAGGGACTATTTGTAAATGGGTTCTGCAGGTTGGTTGAGAGGGACTCCCGCAATAGATTGCAAGATTACAATCGAAAAAAAACACATTGAGACAGAGCAGCATAATGTCCCAAGCAGCCTTTTTTGCTACTGAAGCGAGCTGAGAATATCGTTGTCAGCATCAGCAAGAAGTAGCTCTTTCATGCCCTTGGCGCGTTCTCAAAAATGTGAAGATCTGCTGTGTCCAGCTGTCACAGGTCCGTCTTTCAATGTTCTCTCGTTCTCTCTTCACGAAAAGGATGGTCCACCAATATCAGCCTTTTCCGCATTGAGGTCGCTGCATCTGGCAGTATGGGTTCCCATTCACCTTCAGGACCACGTCGCGCCATATAGCGGAAGCCCTGGGTAGCGGGAACTACTTTGTCTGCTTAATGGCATCAAATGTCCCAAAATGAGTTTCATCCAATTTACCAACTTCAGTCCGGTGCAATCAAAACTGCAGAAAAGGGAAACGGCTGGGTGCCTCCATACATACGGAGTCAGAAGCATCTTGGGGTCCTTGCTACACAAGTCTGATCGTTTCTACATTGACATGATGTGACCACTGTTGAAAAAGGAGTTGCGAAATGTATTTTTTCCCCATCTTACACTATTGTTCAAAAAAACTCCAACATACTCCAACATTCTGCAACAGACAGAGAGTTTCTGTTCTGCAACATACTGCACATGTTGGTACACCGTCCTCGTTTGCAGTCTCTGGGCCGTTCAAACTCTGGAGATTCGATGCCAGGGATTTCGGCCAATGGGCAGGCATGTTCCAAGACCTTCTGCGTGTAGAGCATCGCAGAGTCAGTGGTCATTTGCCAAGGGCCCAAATGCCTCCACAGCATTCGACAGCATATCATGGCATATCATGGCATATCATGGCATATCATGACACATGCAGAGCTGCAGTGGTGGTTCTGTCTATAACATAATTGCTCGGCCTCCTGTGCTTGAACGCTGCACCTTGGAATTTGCTTGGCCCACGGACAACTGCTTAGCAGTGAGACTGAGACTAGTACAATTCAGTATCAATATCAAGTCAATGCTCTGACGCTCAAGTCACTGGCCTGCCTCTCGATGCACAACGTGTCAGTTTTGACAAACTCAGTCTCGCGCGAATCTCGGACGTCCGGTCATCACTGCCATAAGATCCATCTTCGTTCTCAATCACATTTCCCAGAATGCCGCCGAACACCTTATGCTTGTTTTCTGCACGTCATCCGTGTCATCCTGTTTGAACAAAAGTTATAGCTAACCGCTGGCCATCCGTGTTGCAAAGTCCAGGAAAGAATCGTTGCAACCCTCTCCATCCATGAGGCACTGAGGATATCTGGGGATAGGCACGAAGGCATCAAACTTTGCCACGTCATTTGGCTGCAAAGCTTCTTCTGCCTGAGGTTTCCATAGAATCCGCGTGCCCTGAACAGAATCCAAACAGAGCAGAAGCCACCCAGAACTGAGTCACAAACATTCATGTCCAGCAGGCAGATTCGGTCCCTGAATCTGATGGATCATGATGGATCCAATGGATCCGTTGAACACGACTGAACACGTGCGTTGCTCACAACCTTTGACCTAAAAAAAATGAATTCATGTTGTCTCTTTGCACAGCATCTCTATGCACTCAGGATTCGGACCATCCAGGCAAAGTGGGGCCATCTGGCACAGAGTCGAATCAACCGGATATGGATCACAATTCAAGGCTATCCAAGTTTGTCCGACATGTTTGTGTCCCAAAAACTGGGTACCCAAAGTACTCCAAGAAATCATAGAAATCCAAGCAGTAGAAGCCCATAATTTATCATGTTTTATTGTATAATATTATTCATTATTCGTGTAAAATAGATTAAAAGTGATAGTGTAAACTCAAGGCTGGTCAACTGTCCAAGTCCAGTCCGCACCTGGCCAAGTACCTGGAGGCACGAGTTCTTCCAGTCCTCGAATCTGCGCGGATCTGGGCGATCCAATTTATGGAGGTACCAACGGACCCACGGTTGATGTGTTTGTCATGTTTACCCTCTGGTAATTTAACAAAAAGCTATTGAAAATGGCCATTTATAGTGAGTTTTCCCATTAAAAATGGTGATTTTCCATAGTTATGTTAAATTACCAGAGGGTAGATGGTGTTTCACACCAATCACTCATAAATATGCAAAAAGCATCAAAAAGCGGCATTGTCAAATTGGTCAAATCCGTATCCAAATGTATCAAATATGACCTTGACATACCTTGACATTGGCAATCGTTGTGATTCCCAATCAAAGTATGTCAAGGTATGTCAAGGTTATACACAAGTATATCAAGTATTGATCATCATCCCCTGCTGAGGCCTCAACGTTTTGTGTTGGCTCTGGGTGCCTCCGCATCTTTGGGCACCAACTGCTTTACGTCTTCCTCATTTGGCCATCGCACGAAGACCAGTTGCTCGGGCGGCACCTGGGTGGCAAGTGTTCAAGGACCCCGGAAATCATATCGTCGTTGAATGCAGGGATTGGCATATGCATAGATAAGTGTGGAGAATTCTTCGATCCCTCCATCCCTCCCAATTCTTAGGTCCTTTTTTACACAAGTAGATATGGCACACTCGGGCTGCAAGCCCAGGAGTTCACCAGTCACTGACTGTACAGTTGGTGGTGCGACGGTAGAGATATTGGTCGCACTGTTCTCTGCCAGTTCGGCAACTTCACACCTCACAATTGAGTTCGGTCACCACGTCATCCACGTTGGTTTACATACAAACTCAGCGCTGTGCAGAGTAGGGAAGCGCTCAAATTGAGGTAAACAATCGAGATCTATCTCCCTTCGCCAAAACGGGTGTAAAGAAAATTTGTCCCGCTGACTGGGCGGTAAGGCTTGCTTAATGCGAAGCCTTGCCCTCACTAGGTGACACTCAAATCAAACAGCGAACTACCAAGCCTAAGTAGATAGAGGTTTTTCAGCACATGTTTTAAACTTTATCACCTTCATCCTTCAGCGGATATGCAATTAAATCCGGCAAAAAGCCACCAGAGTCCTCGAATTCTTGACACAGGTGTCAGCAACCAGAAATCAACAGCGTGTTGTTTGTTGCCAGTCATTCAACATCTTCAAAGATAGAGTAAAGACTCACTGTCCACACGAGTATGTCTGAAAATGCGGGATATCCCAAAATGAGCCAAAAAAAAGTGAAAAAAATCTCTTCGAGAAAACATATATAGTTTATATATGTTTATATGATATCATAAAAAAATCATCAATAAACAACGATTCAACAACGGTTTTGTTGTGGTTTTGCGGGCTATCCCCCATTTCGAGACAAGCCCATGTGGCACGCTACGACAAACTGACACCTAGAACTGGTCGATACCGTTCTCCGTGGCCTGGGTTTCATCAACGGACATCATCCTCGCCAGCGGTGCTCCATCCAAAGACATCATTCGCACCAGTGGCTCTGCGTGAACTCCATCAATTGACATTTTCCTGGGAGAAAAAGGAAACCAAAGCAAATCATATAAATATATATATATTACGTATATTATAAATATAATTTATATATCCGCCGACCCCTGCCGTCAGCAGGGGGAGCGCGTCAGAGGAGGCCTTACTAGCAACAAGATGTCAGAAGGGGCGAAGAGTTTGCGCAGAACGAAGGTCGGCTCCAGGAGGACACGAGCAGGGTGGCAGTTGGCAGTGCAGAAACGCAGGAAAAGTCAAGGTTTGGAGCTAGTTTCTAGTCGGTTCAGAAAGTGACGTTTGGCAGTCTGGGATACGGGCCGTGGGCCCAATCCGTCCTTCACTGCATGGTGTTTTAGCCCTGCGACACGGTCCTTGGACTCCAGCTTGGACCGAAGCGGTGCAGAACGAAAGCCGGCTCCAGGAGGACACGAGCAGGGTGGCAGTTGGCAGTGCAGAAATGCAGGAAAAGTCAAGGTTTGGAGCTAGTTTCTAGTCGGTTCAGAAAGTGACGTTTGGCAGTCTGGGATACGGGCCGCGGGCCCAATCCGTCCTTCACTGCCATGGTGTTTAGCCCTGCGACACGGTCCTTGGACTCCAGCTTGGACCGAAGCGGTGCAGAACGAAAGCCGGCTCCAGGAGGACACGAGCAGGGTGGCAGTTGGCAATGCAGAAACGCAGGAAAAGTCAAGGTTTGGAGCTAGTTTCTAGTCGGTTCAGAAAGTGACGTTTGGCAGTCTGGGATACGGGCCGCGGGCCCAATCCGTGCTTTTCTGCCATGGTGTTTTAGCCCTGCGACACGGTCCTTGGACTCCAGCTTGGACCGAAGCGGTGCAGAACGAAGGCCGGCTCCAGGAGGACACGAGCAGGGTGGCAGTTGGCAGTGCAGAAACGCAGGAAAAGTCAAGGTTTGGAGCTAGTTTCTAGTCGGTTCAGAAAGTGACGTTTGGCAGTCTGGGATACGGGCCGCGGGCCCAATCCGTCCTTCACTGCCATGCGCCCTGCGACACGGTCCTTGGACTCCAGCTTGGACCGAAGCGGTGCAGAACGAAAGCCGGCGCCAGGAGGACACGAGCAGGGTGGCAGTTGGCAGTGCAGAAATGCAGGCAAAGTCAAGGTTTGGAGCTAGTTTCTAATCGGTTCAGAAAGTAACGTTTGGCACTCTGGGCTACGGGCCGCAGAACGAAAGCCGGCTCCAGGAGGACACGAGCAGGGTGGCAGTTGGCAGCGCAGAAACGCAGGAAAAGTCAAGGTTTGGAGCTGGTTTCTAGTCGGTTCAGAAAGTGACGTTTGGCAGTCTGGGATACGAGCCGCGGGCCCAATCCGTCCTTCACTGCCGTGGTGTTTTAGCCCTGCGACACGGTCCTTGGACTCCAGCTTGGACCGAAGCGGTGCAGAACGAAAGCCGGCTCCAGGAGGATACGAGCAGGGTGGCAGTTGGCAGTGCAGAAACGCAGGAAAAGTCAAGGTTTAGAGCTTATTTCTAGTTGGTTCAGAAAGTGACGTTTGGCAGTCTGGGATACGGGCCGCAGGCCCAATCCGTCCTTCACTGCCATGGTGTTTTAGCCCTGCGACACGGTCCTTGGACTCCAGCTTAGACCGAAGCGGTGCAGAACGAAAGCCGGCTCCAGGAGGACACGAGCAGGGTGGCAGTTGGCAGTGCAGAAACGCAGGTAAAGTCAAGGTTTGGAGCCGCAGAACGAAAGCCGGCTCCAGGAGGACACGAGCAGGGTTGCAGTTGGCAGTGCAGAAACGCAGGAAAAGTCAAGGTTTGGAGCTAGTTTCTAGTCGGTTCGGAAAGTGACGTTTGGCAGTCTAGGATACGGGCCGCGGGCCCAATCCGTCCTTCACTGCCATGGTGTTTTAGCCCTGCGACACGGTCCTTGGACTCCAGCTTAGACCGAAGCGGGGCAGAACGAAAGCCGGCGCCAGGAGGACACGAGCAGGGTGGCAGTTGGCAGTGCAGAAACGCAGGAAAAGTCAAGGTTTGGAGCTAGTTTCTAGTTGGTTCAGAAAGTGACGTTTGGCAGTCTGGGATACGGGCCGCAGGCCCAATCCGTCCTTCACTGCCATGGTGTTTTAGCCCTGCGACACGTCCTTGGACTCCAGCTTGGACCGAAGCGGTGCAGAACGAAAGCCGGCTCCAGGAGGAGCAGGGTGGCAGTTGGCAGTGCAGAAACGCAGGAAAAGTCAAGGTTTGGAGCTAGTTTCTAGTCGGTTCAGAAAGTGACGTTTGGCAGTCTGGGATACGGGCCGCGGGCCCAATCCGTCCTTCACTGCCATGGTGTTTTAGCCCTGCGACACTGTCCTTGGACTCCAGCTTGGACCGAAGCGGTGCAGAACGAAAGCCGGCTCCAGGAGGACACGAGCAGGGTGGCAGTTGGCAGTGCAGAAACGCAGGAAAAGTCCAGGTTTGGAGCTAGTTTCTAGTCGGTTCAGAAAGTGACGTTTGGCAGTCTGGGATACGGGCCGCCGACACAATCCGTCCTTCACTGCCATGGTGTTTTTTAGCCCTGCGACACGGTCCTTGGACTCCAGCTTAGACCGAAGCGGTGCAGAACGAAAGCCGGCTCCAGGACGACACGAGCAGGGTGGCAGTTGGCAGTGCAGAAACGCAGGTAAGTCAAGGTTTGGAGCCGCAGAACGAAAGCCGGCTCCAGGAGGACACGAGCAGGGTGGCAGTTGGCAGTGCAGAAACGCAGGAAAAGTCAAGGTTTGGAGCTAGTTTCTAGTCGGTTCAGAAAGTGACGTTTGGCAGTCTGGGATACGGGCCGCGGGCCCAATCCGTCCTTCACTGCCATGGTGTTTTAGCCCTGCGACACGGTCCTTGGACTCCAGCTTGGACCGAAGCGGTGCAGAACGAAAGCCGGCTCCAGGAGGACACGAGCAGGGTGGCAGTTGGCAGTGCAGAAACGCAGGAAAAGTCAAGGTTTGGAGCTAGTTTCTAGTCGGTTCAGAAAGTGACGTTTGGCAGTCTGGGATACGGGCCGCGGGCCCAATCCGTCCTTCACTGCCATGGTGTTTTAGCCCTGCGACACGGTCCTTGGACTCCAGCTTGGACCGAAGCGGTGCAGAACGAAAGCCGGCTCCAGGAGGACACGAGCAGGGTGGCAGTTGGCAGTGCAGAAACGCAGGAAAAGTCAAGGTTTGGAGCTAGTTTCTAGTCGGTTCAGAAAGTGACGTTTGGCAGTCTGGGATACGGGCCGCGGGCCCAATCCGTGCTTCACTGCCATGGTGTTTTAGCCCTGCGACACGGTCCTTGGACTCCAGCTTGGACCGAAGCGGTGCAGAACGAAGGCCGGCTCCAGGAGGACACGAGCAGGGTGGCAGTTGGCAGTGCAGAAACGCAGGAAAAGTCAAGGTTTGGAGCTAGTTTCTAGTCGGTTCAGAAAGTGACGTTTGGCAGTCTGGGATACGGGCCGCGGGCCCAATCCGTCCTTCACTGCCATGGTGTTTTAGCCCTGCGACACGGTCCTTGGACTCCAGCTTGGACCAAGCGGTGCAGAACGAAAGCCGGCGCCAGGAGGACACGAGCAGGGTGGCAGTTGGCAGTGCAGAAACGCAGGTAAAGTCAAGGTTTGGAGCTAGTTTCTAGTCGGTTCAGAAAGTAACGTTTGGCACTCTGGGCTACGGGCCGCAGAACGAAAGCCGGCTCCAGGAGGACACGAGCAGGGTGGCAGTTGGCAATGCAGAAACGCAGGAAAAGTCAAGGTTTGGAGCTAGTTTCTAGTCGGTTCAGAAAGTGACGTTTGGCAGTCTGGGATACGGGCCGCGGGCCCAATCCGTCCTTCACTGCCATGGTGTTTTAGCCCTGCGACACGGTCCTTGGACTCCAGCTTGGACCGAAGCGGTGCAGAACGAAAGCCGGCTCCAGGAGGACACGAGCAGGGTGGCAGTTGGCAGTGCAGAAACGCAGGAAAAGTCAAGGTTTGGAGCTAGTTTCTAGTCGGTTCAGAAAATTACGTTTGGCAGTCTGGGGTCCTTCACTGCCATGGTGTTTTAGC